ATGTGAAAACTAAAACCACATTCAATTTGCGATATAAACACAAGAATACCACATTCTAAAATCTGATCACCAGAAAACAGAACTGATGACATCATCATATGTGTAACATCTAACCCATGTTCAAAAAATCTCTAGGCGCTAGTCAGACGGTGAGGGTGGGCTTAGCGTCTAACAAGAAAATCGGAGATTAAACGGGGATTAATCGGGGACTAGTTTTAAGGTAATTTAATATTTTAAAAACATATTAATCCATTATAAATAAGAAATTTATATAATATTGTTTTTAAAATTGCATTAAACACATGAAAACAAGAATTTAAGGTCAAACTTATGATTTTTATAAAAATTATGAATATAAGTAGAACATTTTGAATTTTATATAAAAAAAATGTAAAATAAAAAAATTGGGCTAAGCGCGTCCTAGTTATGTTATAAACTTATAATTAATGTCGCTTTTGCTTGCCTTAACGACAGTCAGACGGCGAGCAGTAACCATCACACACGAAGTTTGGTCCATTGCTTTGAATAATATTTTATCATCAAGTAAATAACCATAGATAATAGATACTGACTAAGATCCACGTCACATTTTAATTTGTCATGCCACGTCGTGTACTTTAATTATATGATTCCATCTTCTTTATACTTTACTATTCGGACAAACTGCTTTCTGTTATAAATAACAACTAAAAGTAGATGAATATTTTTTTTTTTTTGTCGTCTGGTAATATTAAGAACCAAGGGAAGGATACATAGGAGGAATACATAACCGGATACACCGGAATCAAAGCTCGCAATTTCTGACTAAACTAAGCTCGGAACTTCGAGAGATAAAGCTCGCGAATTCCAACTAAACTAAGCTCGGAATTTCGAGAACCAAAGCCCGCAGATTCCGACTAAACTAAGCTCGGAATCTCGAGAGACAAAGCCCGACTACACGGGAAACAGATTCTTATACAACCAAAAGCTCTTAAATGAGATATGCAAACAAAACTATTCAAAACTCAAAAACTGGTCCAAACCCGAGAGCGGAAAACGATTAGACATGGTGGAACACCGACAATAACCAACCGTGGCTTCAACTCTACTTGTCCTCGCTTGATGTAGGTAGACTTCAGAAATTTGAAACTTGTGCTTCCTTGGGAAGGCAAGACGAATCTTTCAAAGGATAATTGACAAGACCGACGAAACTGCCTGGGGCCGGAGAATTCGAAACAAATGTCGAACCGGTTAGGAGGCAGCACAAACAAACAGGTCTCGACCAAACCTGAAATTAACTTCGTGTGGAGGAGACTAAACAGCCGCTTAATCGACTCACCAAAGCCTTCAGATGGAAGGAATGGTGACGGATGCGATTCGATTAAGACCTAGGGAAAGGCCAGCAAAGAGGAAAGAACAGAAAAGACATAATCTCATAAAATTACAGAGCTAAAACGAACTAAAGCCTTCTCAACCCCCGCATCTCCTCGTCGCGAGCAAATTCCAGAATGTGGACTCACCAAAACGGCACGCCGTTGATTTCTTGAATACCAACCACCGGAGACAGCAACATCTAGAGGGAGGAAACGAACATCAAACCCCAAAAAAGATATAGATCTAGAAAAGATCTAAATAAAAAAATGTAGATCTGAGACAAAATCCAACCCAAACTCGAGAAAAGGAAACACATGAGAGATAAGAGAGAAGGAAGCAAAAAAACAAGCTAAACTATACTACCGGTGCCACCGTCGGAAGGACGGCGGCCACCGAAGGAACCCTCGATGCTTTCTCTTTTTTTTCTCTCTCGCTCTGCGTTTTTTTTGGTTATTAACTTATTACAAAAATCTGCTAAAAGTAGATGAATATATATCTATATATTTGAAGTAGTATTATATATATAATATAAAGAGAATAAAAGAAACAAAAGAAAGAGAGAAGAACGAGGGAGAGAGAGTGGGAGAGCAAGAATCAACAAGTCCATAGAGAAGAAGAGAACAAGCGAGACAAAGCCATCAAACCGAGCTATCACCAAAAGCGTAGAACCAGAGACTGAGAGCCACAAAAACCGGACCATACGGCTAAGCCATACACACAACCCGACGAGAAAGGGCCAAACAATCAGCTAATTCTCAGATAAAGACCAAGCTAACGATTGAAACCATCCTAATAACACTTATTCCAACAGAACGAAACAAGGGTCTAAACTCAACTAACTCAAAGACGAAAGACACGGATGTCGGAAGTTACCGGAGAGAAAACAAACTCGTCTCAGTCGTAAAGGAAGCAATGGATCCGCCTATCACCAACGAGAGAAACCTAGACAAGGTCCAGATCTGAGGCTGAGAAGAACGAAACCACCGACGACCTCAAAGGAAATCGCGGATCTCCTCTACGAATCAAGAGACAGCAACACAGAGAGGAAATCTTGCCGGAATCGGAAGAGACCATCAACAAACGCCGTTCGGAAACAAATGAATCTAGATCTCTTTGGTTGGTGTTTATTGTGAGCTCCCTGTTTCGGTCTGTTGTCGTTCTTGTGTGAGTATGGCATCATCGGTTTGGAGTTCTGTCTCGCTCCTTGTCTCTACTCTCAAGACCTGATCGAGGTCTGGTCAGATCAAAGATTTCTATCAAGGCGTCAAATTGTCGTGGTTCTCGACAACGCCGCTTCCAGAAGATTTGTGAATCGTATAGTCTGTGATTTGCTTCTTTCTTGCTGGATATGAAGTCTAGGATTAAGTTATATGTGAGGTACTTTGGATTCGCTATAGGAGGTTTCGTTAGCTGCTAACGGACTCGTTTCGTCCGCTGTGGTTGGCTTTGCTCATCTGGGAGATAATGGGAGGTCTTTTGATAAGTCTATTTTGTTTGAGAATTTGTTTATAGACTTGGTTTGTCACTTCGCTTTTTGTGGATTGTTATTTCATCGTTTTCATTAGCTTCCCTGTAACTTAGGGCTTCTGCTTCCCTCTTTTGGGCTTTTGTCTCTGGGGATATCTCGTTTTTCCGCCGGCATATATATCTCATCATGTATCCTTTTATAGTTTTCTAATAAAATTCAGACGACAAAAAAAAAAAAAGAGGGAGAGAGAGTGAAATGAAAGCTTTATTACTCAACTTCTCTCTACATTTTACTTTTAATCTTTCGTACAAAGCAACATATATATAGAAGAATAAAAACTTGGTGATCAAGCTACTTCCATGCTAAGTAAACAATAGATAAGAGAGAAATTAAAGTGGATAGTGATCCGTAATGGATAACTATCATTTTATAACACTTTCTCGTTTTTAGTATGTTTTTCCTGCTATTTTCCTTATTCAATTGCAGTCACCATTCAGAATGTCAATCATTGAAATTTTTTTATCTTCTATTGATAAACATTGTTAACATTTGATGTAAAAAATTTATAATTATTTACACAAACAAAACCATAGTTATTTATACCATGAGATAGTTTTTAGAATAATTGATCAACACCATAATTGAAATCCCAGATTCCTTATATCTTACACGTAATGGATTCACAACAAATCTTTATAGACTCTCATATAACAGAGAGAGAGAGGAAAGCTTTCACTAAACCACTTTCTTAATCAACAAAACAAAAAAATTCTCACTAAACCAACAACGTAGAAAAGTTAGGTGGAGCAAGGAATATGGACTGAGCTACATATTTGAGATTTACAATATGGGCCTATAAAAAAAAATTAAGCCCACTTATTAAAAAAATTTGCAATGATTTATACTCTGAAATTCGTCCATCATAACTACACAAAATTACTGCAAGACAATCAAATGATAATGTATCGACACACTACCTAGAAAATGAAATCCACAAAACAAATTATAAACCAAGCACATGATTCGAAGTATTGAATCTTCAAACTAAAACGTCAATCCATATATCGATGGATTTCATATGACTGTTTATGGCAAAAGAAAGAATGTGAGAAAATAGAAAGAAATGAGACTTAACCAGATAGTGCAGGAGATTTCAGAAAACAAATAAAAACTTTGTAAGAAAAAGGGGCACTTATTTAGATAAATCGTAAATCTTGGCGATTTCGTATCGAGGCCTAGAGGTGTCAAGCGGGCCGATAGCCCGCGGCCCGCGGACTACAAATATTTAATAAAAATAAATAATTAATATAAATAAATAAATATTTTTACATAATTCTAAAAATATATATGTGAAATATATGAACATATAACGAAATTTAATGTATAAAATTATAAGATTTACAAAAAAATTAATTCTAAGAGTTTTTTTATTGAAAAATTGTTAATTTCAAATTTTAAAAATTAATTTTATTTTTTAATTATTTTTAAAATATGTAAAACTAAGCCCGCGGGCCGGCCCGCTAACCCGTTAGGCTTAGCGGGGCGGGCCTGGAGATATTATTTTTGCCCGCGGTCCTAGCGGGCCGGCCCGCCGCGGTCTCATAAATTTAAATGCCCATCGCGGGCCGGCCCAGATGGACGCGGACCGGCCCGTTTGACACCTCTATCGAGGCCCACTATAATTACAGGCCTTATCTGAGGTATTTCGAAAAGTATCATTAATTTTGTGTTTATTTCGCAAATATAAAACTATTTAGCAAAATATGCTTCCAAACAAAAAAAAGTATCTTTATCAACATCACTCATGAGTATATATTTATGCGGCATTGGATGGATTCTTATCTCAGATTATCAGCTTATTAATCAGAGTTTGACAATGTTTATCCCCACTCCACACAGAGTTTGAAACGCTTCTCTGGGTAATGAGATCCCTCACATCATTAGGCTATTTAAAAAATCGCTAGGCGCTACTCGGACGGTGACAGTGGACCTAACGCCTAGCAAAAAAATTGAAGATTAAACGGGGATTAATCGGGAACTAGTTTTAAGGCTATTTAATATTTTAAAAACATATTAATCCATTATAAATAATAAATTTATATAATCTTGTTTTTAAAAGTGCATTAAACACATGAAAACAAGAATTTAAGGTCAATTTTATGAATTTTATACAAATTATGAACATAAGTGGGACGTTTTGAATTTTATATCCAAAAAAAAAAATGTAAAAAAAAAATAAAAATTGGGCTAGGCGCCGTCTAGGCGGACAAAAATCGAATCACCGATTTTTTTTACCGATTTGGACAAAATCGCCGCGGTCCCCATCCGATCAGCGGTTAAGCGGCCGATTTTTAGAACAGGGCATCTAACTATTAAGCACTGAAAAGTTTCTATGGTTCTGTTTTTGGTTTTTATATATATGTCCCATAAACCATATTCTAACGTCTACTAAAGGAAGAAGACAACTTCAAGCCAAACAAGCTACATAAAAACTAGAACTAGAAGAGAACATTCAAGAAAAAGACTAAGAACAAAAAGCTTGTGGTCTCTCAAGAGATTCTGAAGAATGTACCTAAAGAAAGCAAGACTGTGGAAGATTGAAGGAAAGCTAAACATGTTGAAGAACCGTGAAAAAATCATTACCATTTTGCTATTTCAAAGACTCATGTTTTGGAGGAAACATTGACATGAGTCTTTCGCAAGGCCAGTTTTTTAACCCCAAAGGTTAAAAACTGTTTACAAGTATTTCATACTAAACAAGTTCTCTGGAAACAGTTACTTTGCAGAACAAAGAAATTGAAATCTTTCAAGAAACCAGAACTAGAATCATTCACGGTTACAAAATTAGCTTCATACACCATATTAGCTTCAGACACGAAGAAACGCAACACAAAACCAGAAACTAGTGAATTCTATTAGGAAATTAACAAAGCAATCAAACTTGAAAGACTTGAACTGAGCATATAATGCATGATAATTTGATGATGAAATATAACTTGTTAAAATGTAAATCCATGAATTATCGTAATATGTAGTAATCTGTACAAAATATTGTTGATCAACGAAGATTGTAACTGAGCACTAAGGATTTTTTTCTCACTTCTCAGAGACTCAAAACAAAAGAAAGATCTCACATCAAACCACTACTAAGCAAGTAAGATAATCTTCCAAGGACAATCAATAACCATCTCTTTTCGAGTTCACCATAAATTTCAAGGTTAGTAATAGCATATTTTTTGAATTAACACATAGACCACGCAAACAAACAACATATTCAAGATAGCATTAAACCACTCAACATAGAGATTCAGGTAAGCAAAAACCATGTAACAACCAACAGATTCAAGTAAGCAAAGACTACACAACAAACAACCGAATAAAGGCATAGCTCAAAGCATAAACCACACAAGGAACATATTCAAGTTAGCATATTAGACCACACAATGCATATATTCAAGTAAGTAAAAATCATGTGACAACTAACAAATTCAAGCCATCGCTTCAATCCACAGAACAACCAACGGATTCAAAGCCATAGCTTCAAAGCATAGATCATGCAACAACCAAAAGAATTCAAGTCATGAGTTCGAATCATATACTATGTACCGACCCAATACAAAAAAGTATAAATCAAAGTCAAAGCACATAGGCTTATGCAACAACCAAAATGATCAAGCCTCAAAACATAAACCATAATCCACATAATAGACCATAAACAACCAATAAAATCATCTCACATCTAATTCATAACAATACTAAACAATTACAAAGTATATTTTTCAACGATTATCGATAAATTTCATCTAAATTGTTTACCTAAGACAGGGTTGCATTTAATGTAACAAATTCTTCATTTTTATCAGATTCAGGTTTTAATTCTGATATTGTTTGTATCTTAGTATTGTTTGTATCTTAGTTGATGTTTTCACTTTCTACCCTGCACAAAGAAAGAGTTATTGTCAAATACATTCCATTAAATCAGTTGCTCACTTCAAGTATTCAAAAGCAAAAGCTTGTTAACTTATGATTTCTAACATTAGTAACTATATCAACCAATCGAATACACACATAGGAGAAGCACATGTCTTATCCTACACTAATTTCATATTCTTGCATCAAACAGTTTCTAAAAATCACCAAGAAAGTACGTAAGAGAAGCAAAATTTTTAATGATTAAGTTTATATCTAAACCGATTTACGTACCTGAAGGCTGTTATGCAGAGTCTATTTTCAATTATGGTTGTGATTTGCGCCATGATCTAAGTATGTAACAATACAAAACGAATTAAATACAAGTTTAAGGAGAAACACATACCAATCCTGAAGTCCATAGACACTTTGAAATCTCTCCTGAGTCTTCAAAAATATCTGGAAAAATAAAAAGTTGCATCAGTTCATCATTTGTAAAATATGGGTTTATGCCTTTCATGCACATACCCTGTTTAAATTTGTGATCTCAGTGTGTATGGCTTTCATTTTATAGCACACACTTAAACCAAGTAGTCACTGGTTCATGTTAAGCTTTAGTGTTTTTAAGTCGTTGCCATTGGTTTGTAAGCCGTTGGTATGTGTTTCTGTAAGCCGTTGGTATTTGTTTCTGTAAGCCGTTGGTATGTATTTTTATAGGTAACACCTGTGGGACTAGATGAAGAGCTCACAAAAATCAGACGAGTTAGTATGTGAGACCTCTGAAACTTGAAACTTAAGAGGGGCTTTTTCTATTCCCTTTACCCCTTTGTAGACCACACAAACGCTCGTTTGTATTATCCAGTGTGTGTAATAAGCTCTAAGGGATTTTGTAGTTCCCCTACCCTTTTGGGTTTGAAGCCGCAGCTGTTTTAATCTAACCAATAAAGGTAACTCCCAGTTTAACTATAGAGCTCATAGCGTGATAGTGTGTTTATCAGCTTTATCTTTGAACCGAGAACTCTGTCAAAACCATCTGTCAAAGGCTCAAAGCCATGTGTACTTTCTTTCAAATTCTAGTGTCTGTTATAAGCTTCAAGGGCTTTTGCAAATTCCCATACCCCTTTGTTTTTGAACCAAAAATCGGTTTTAAGCCCCAGGTTTTAGTCTCATCATAAAGGCAACTCTCATCGGACCACTTTAACTATAGAGTTCATAGCGTGATAGTGTGTTTATCAGCTTTATCTTTGAACCGGGAACTCTGTCAAAGCCATGTGTACTTTCATCGGACCAGTTTAAGTGTTTAACTATAGAGCTCATAGCGTGATATTGTGTTTATCAGCTTTATCTTTGAACCAAGAACTCTGTTAAACCCGTGGGTACTTGTACTCTTTTTTAATTCCCATACCCCTTATGGGTTTTAAGCCGGAGGTTAAGGCAACTCTCATCGGACCAGTTAAGCTAAAGAGCTCATAGCATGATAGTGTGTTTATCAGCTTTTATCTCTGAACCGAGAACTTTGTCAAAGCCATGGGTTTGAGATTGTCAAATGTATTTAAGCCGTAAGGTATGTTTCAAGATTCAGGACAATTGTTTCCGATCTTTTAGATCATCAAAGAGAGACAAATGTTCCCAATTTAGATTCAGACACAAGGCAACACATTGGAAACCACAGTTCAGAGAATTACCTGAAGAGATTATGTAGATTGGTGTGAAAGTATCCTCTAGAAAACTCTCTGTGATCAATGAGAGAATAATCCAGTCTCTGTCTTCTTATACGAACTTGATCTGCAACAATAAAAACAAATTTGTTTGATAAATATACAAGTCTTTGATTAACATAACGATTACAGAAATTGAAACCCTAATTCAAAGAATCAAACTGAAATCGAGTAAATCAAAACAAAAACCTAAAAAGAAAAAGCGATTATTGAGATTCTGAAACCCTAACTAGTTGATTCGATGAAGAGAAAAACAAGAGAAAGAATTTATATGCGATTTTGAAACCTAAAGATCGACTACAAAATTACTAACCCAAGAGAAGGATAAATCAACGATTTTTCAAAAGAAATCAGGATTAAACTAGATGACATTGAAGGATCGATTCGGAAACTTACAGAGCAATTTTCAAAGTCTCCGATGAAAGAAACGCAGAGAATAATGGAAAACTTCTTCTTCTTATTTGGCATAATAATGGAAATCGTTTAGGGCTTTTGATACGCGTGGCACATTCCTACCGTTATTCGCAAAAGCTAAATAACGGCTAGTTCACGTTTTAGAAAAAGAAAAGAACGTTTTAAATTTTAATTTGGGCGTCTTGTGATTAGTCAATATGGCCACGTCACAAGCGTTAATAAATTTTGTTTAAGTTGCTAAAACACCAAACTATTTTACTGAATTTATTTATTCGCTTAAATAAACAAATAAAGTCTATAAAATCTTATATTTAATGTTTGATGATTTTGATTAGCGGCACCTTTGCTAAAGTTGTAGTCTATAAAATACTGAATTTATTTGGGAATATATGTTTTTAAAATCCCCCACTTTTTAATTCCGTTGATTTAAATCTTCAACTTACTCTGAAAATTTTTAAATTTATATTAAATACCAAATTTCATTGATTTTGCCATTTTTGTCACGTTGTTAAGTCAATTGACGGAACAAACTAACGGGATTAAGTCTCTATTATCAATTTCTTTTGATTAAATTTATAAGTTCATGTATTAAACTTCACGTATCATATACTGGTTTCAGCCAAAATTAACATTTTGAGTTCTTCAAATGTTCACAGTTTATTAGCATCTTCGTTGTCCAGTTAATAACCATGTGTTTATTTTTCTAAGTTTTCTTTTTCTTGTCTTGTGTGTGTGTATGTACCAACTACCAATCATGACAGTTTAAATTTTTTTTTTTTTTTGGTAAACATGACAGTTTAAATTTTTTTTTTTTTTGGTAAACATGACAGTTTAAATCTAGGAAGCACGGAATCGGCATCCAACCTCCGCTTCCCGCTTCGGAACCGGAACCGGGTACGAAAACGTCAGGAAGCGCTCGGAAACGTGACGGAAGCGCAGTTCTAAAAAATCACACATTGGAAGCGTCTGGGAATCGGTCGATTCATATTTGGAAGCGTGGTGTTATGAACGGAAACGCAACCTCCTTTTTCTTCATGTTCAGTTGCCTTGGTTTTCTAATGGTGTGTGCGTGTGGTTCTTTGTCTCTTAGATGATAAATTATCACAAGCAAGAAGAAACATATAAGTGAGGCTTGCTTCCTTTGTCTTTGGTCACGGCGGAGCAGTCGTATAAGTGAGGTGAGTGGTCTTCGTCTGCGTTAGATTCCCGGTGTGTGTAGGCCGGCGTCTTTTGGTTGGCAAAGCTTCTCCGATGTGTTCTCCAGCAAGGGTCAAGTTTGAGTTTCGGTTCCCGGCGTTGGATCTCCGGTCGCTCGGTCTCCGGCCGAGTAGGGACTTGACGGATCTTGGCCAGGATCCGTCATGTGCGGACTCCGGTTGTCTCAGTCGGCGGCGGAACAGCTTCTTCGCTTGACCTAATTTTGGCTTGGGTTGGTTGTGGGCTTTTTCGGTTTGGGCATTTGGTCCAATCGATTTTGCTTATTGGGCCTCTTTGCAAGTTGGGTAAGGTTTCCCTTTAGCTGGGTTGGACCTCTTTAATTTCAGTTTTTAAATTTATGTAACCACTTTGTAGGGCTTAGCCCATTATGTTGTTTCCATCTATACTCACAAAAAGTCAATAAAAATGAAAACCCTTTGACAAAAAAAAAAAAGAAGAAACATATAAAATGTGCATGATTCATCTGTTACCTCCGGTGGTTTCAATTTTCAGATCTGATATTTCTTAAGTTTCCGGTGTTTTCATCGGGAAGAAGAATCTTAACAATTGTGGGCCTTACATTTTCCATTCTTTTGGGCTTTTAACATTCATATCTGATATCCCTAATATATATTCTCAGCAGCCCAATTTTGTTTATTTTTTCGTAAGCTTAAGTTTTTTTTTTTGTTACGCAAGCAAGCTTATATATTTATGATATTTATATATATATATATATATATATATATATATATTAATGCTTCCAATACGTACCCGCTTCCTATATTTTTCACAAAAATCGCTTCTGCGATTCCAAACGCTTCCGCTTCCGCGTACCCGCCTCCGATTCCATGCAGCTTAGGTTTAAATTTGCGGTAGCTCCACCGGACAATGATGGTAATGTTAATGAACCGTGTATTGATATCTTAGGTAATATTGCCCTGACACTTCTTATTGCAAACAGAGGCAGTAACTTATTGACTCGGCTTAGTCTGTAGATTCATGAGCAAACCCATAAAGGAGCATTGGCATGCATTGATGTGAATATTAAAGTATATCAGTGGTTCAGTGAAGAAGAAACTTTCTCTACTTTTCTTGAAACATATAGTAATGGAAGGAAGAAGGACATGAAAATCCAAATGGAAGCATGAGGATGCAGAGAGGGGGTCACACTGAAAAAGACAGCTTTGTACACCACACTATAAAGGACATTATTTTTTTTCTATTCCATAAGCAAATATACGTACACAAGAAATTACATGTAAACTAGAGGACAAATCTAAGACTAGAACTAAACCAAAGCCAGTACTACACCACACATCTTGGTTTGGGTTTAGCCTGTAAGTAAGTTACTTGCCTAACACGCATATTATGAGACATGAAGACAGCAAATACTTATTGTTATCCAGAACAGAACAGAACAGTGGTGTTCAGCCGAAAATCTCTTTCAGCACAGAAATCGAACACATTATTGAATTCTTCTCGTAGAATCTGCACAGGACCGGACCTGCAACCTTCCAGACAAACCCACAACTTTTAACATTATTCTTCTTGATGGCATAGTCGTAAGTGATGTTGTAAAGTGCAAGGGCCTTTGGGTAGAGTTCTTCCAGACTTCTCTTGCTTTCTTTAAACCCTGCAGCACCGTAGAACTCCTGTTACAGAGAGAAGAAACCGTTCAACCAATGATTTGTTTATAAAGCATTAGAATCAACAAAAAACCGGTGGTTCATGAAGGCTATTGGCTAAATGTTTGCTCTTAGAATTAACTAAATTGAAGAGCTTACCTTCTTGTATTTCTGGATTACTTCATCACAGGAATCATCATCAGAGTGCATCGCTTGACACATCTCCTTTCTGTAATCCTTGTGCCAGCTTTTACATTTCTCCATGTCAAACTCAGAGACCGGCTCATCTTCAAAACACTGGAGTTTACTGATTTCTGAAAGGTAACCCAGAGCTAAGCCGTTAAAACATATACAACGTGATGAGTTCTTGTGTACTTTGATAATCAATAGTAACAAGAAGATCCGTACCGGATGGTGTGGGGTCCTCTGCATTATGAGAATCCACAGTGTCAAAGATTAAACCAAGAATAGAAATGGACTTGAATATTTTATTCCTCTCCATATAATGTGGAAAAACATCGGCCTTTACGTCGAACGGGAGATTGACCTCAGTCCCCGTTTTTGGTGCATCAATAGCATCTTAGTATATATCAGTCAACTTTAGCATTTTCTTCTTCATTTCAGCTTTTTCCTTAACACTCTCATCTCCTAAGGTGAGGAAGCGGTCCATTATTCCTAGCCAGCTATCTGCAGCCTGTCCTATAACATTGCTGTGAATCCAAAAAACAAGGCATGTTTAACCCAAAGGACTATGTGACCGTGAAAGTAACCCAAGAATTAAATAACATACCTGGGACTAAATCCTGTCTTTAAGAACATGTTGAAAAGCTCTTCTTCCAACTGTTCGGGTGAAAGTTCACTTGGCTTTCTACCAGTGTAAATTTTACTAGGTGGAGAAGAACTCACCCACGGTTCACTTGGCTTGTAGTGCTCGAGTAGCTAAACAGAGTAAGTTGCAGTTCATAAGTAAGGTCTCAGCAATGAAATTTTACTATAACTGTGATGGACGTAGCAGTGTACCTTGGGATTTCTGGATATGAAATACATATCGCCATCAAAATCACCACCTGCAATTTCGTCGCCCAAAGATCTTGGACCTTTTTGAGGGAAGAACACAGCATACTTGGAATTTCCGACATACTGTTCCAAGGTTTTAACATATGTAGCCTGTAGAATATGTATGTCTCCAAAATGTAGTCCAGGATTCCTGTAAACTAGCACATCCCCTGAGATTTGGCCAGACTCGCTGCAAAACCACGAAAAAGAAAGTAGTGAGGAAATGAACAGCTAACTCACAACTCCAACGAAGCAAGTCACGGTTTGTTTATGTTTCCATCTACACCTATAATAAAATAAAAAGAAGAAGGATTTGGTAGCATACAGGATGACACAGACTTCATCTTCCTTTAGCTCTCCGGTGGGATCCACTGTCCCCATGAGATAGTATGATTCGTCAATAGGAAGTCTTCCTGCTTTGAGATCATCTTTCTTTATCTTTAAGAGAAGAGATAGATGATGCTTCAAATATGGCTCATCAAGGGGGATACCAGCCATGATCATTTGTAAAGCGTTCTTATCGTCCATATTCCGTAACGAAGTGCAGCTGCAGAAAACAAATAAACTTAAGAAAAGAGCCATCATGTGACTTCTCATGCTTCCTATGATATTAAAGACTTTAGGAAAACATCTTATGTTAGTTCACTCAGTTTCGGAGCTCGAAAATTGCAAAACAACTCCAAAGCTTTAGAGTTATAACCATACCTTTACCCGCTGCGCGTATTTTGAAGAATACGGTATTCTTCTTTTCCAACGTGTTGAGCAATATATCCAAAAAAAAATCATTTGGCACTCCTCCATAGCTCAGCAGCGCGACCAAATTCTTCGATAGCTTCGCTCTTTTTGGTGGATTACTGGAAGATGGAAACAACCAAAGATCATCAAATAAGAACCTCGAGTGAGAAGTTCAGCTTGAAGATAACATAAATCCAAGAGACATATACCTTGTAGTGACTACCTCCAGGGAGTTAAAAGTGCTAAAATTTGACAAATTTTTATCTTTATACACCTTGATCATAGAAGGTCGAACCTGGACGGTCCGTGGAGGAAGCTGCCAAATTGGGATGGGAGCAAATTTAGGAATAGCTCAAAAGTCTGGTTCTGTGACATGAAAGAGAGTCTACTTACGTTCTTGTTTAATAGAAAAATTCCCTTAACAGCAGAGCCATCATTAAACATCCGAATTTGG